ATATATAAATTTAATATTTTATTACAAATTTAATACAATAATTATATTAAAAAATGTTTATAATAAAATAGATCAGTACACTCTGAATATATTCTAATTATCAAAGAATTCGGACAACATTTTAAGCCTAAAAAAGGATATGAATTATCAAAAAAAAAAATACTCTTTTATATCCTATAATTTTATGAATTTTATCTTTTAATCCTTATTATAAAAATTATTTTATTCTAGTTTCTATTCATACAATTTTTTGTTTCATTTTAATTTTTATAGTTTCATAAATATATATTATTTTTTAGTCTTTATAGAAATATATAACATGGACTAAAAAATCCGAAAATGATATATATATGTATATAAAGAAAATTTTTTAATTATATAGATTAAAAAGTAAAATTTATGAGATTACAAAGACAAAATAATTATCAAAACTAAAAGGCAAAAGCTTTGCAACTTGCCTAATAATTTTCCATGACTAAAAAAAATTACAAAAAATTATATATATGTTATTGAAAATTATTTATACTTTTAGTTGGTATTAATGATTTTTTTATTCATAATTTTGTGAAATATCATATATAAAAAATGACATCCTAAATATCCAGAAAAACTCTTTATTTTATAAGCAATCATGCAAAGTGTAAAAAATATACTATATATATATATAATATTTCCTATACTTTTGTTGATTGCATATAAAAAAGGAGAGTTTCTTTTTGGACATCTAGAATGTCATTTTTTATATATGCATTCATCATCCTCCGTAAGATAAAAGGACCACGAGTGCCATGCCCTCTGTCCATTATAGCTATCATGCTGAACTTTCCCTTCTTTGCCAAAAGAGGAACACTCTCATGGGGATCATCTTGTGGCTTTAGTGACAAAAAAAATAGAGATAACTTTTATAATTGAAAAGACATAAAAGGTTACATAAAAAGCGAACGATTTCAATCTATATATTACAGATTTCCAAAATAGATATTCATTTCTGAACACTATGTACATAAATTTCATATTTTTGAATTCTAACAGATAATCGCATCTCTTGACGATGGTGGGGTAACAACAAGGCTGGTTAATGCCTCATGACCTGGTTATAATTATAGCACACCATATTTTGCAGCATAATTAATATTGCTGACTTAGTGAATATAATGTTTGAAGTGAAATACTTTACGTAAACAACATATTGATACACCTACCATATAAGAGCACGACTTTCCTAGAATAATCTCCTCGTTAGGAGGGAGGCACTTTAAAAGGTGAGATAACTGGCTCCAAAATTTAATGCGGTTATATACACAAAGTAAGATTCGAACTCCTGACCTTGCTTAAGCGTGGATCAATCCCAATCCCTACCACTGAATCACACGCTTAGGATTAATTAACGAACGAGGCATTGAGTTCTTAGTAATTATAATATTCTATAACGTTTGATTCGTCTTATTTTTGCATGTGAACTTCTAAAAAAAAAAGAACTGCATAAACAAAAACAAACTTTATTATCAAGTTCCTTTTAAGATTTCAAGTAACAATTGGAAGAACAAACTAATAATAAAAGAAACACTACCTTTTGTAAATAGCTATCCATGAAGGGAAATGCTAGCTAGTGTCACAAATGTGAGTGACATGAACTAGAAATTACTTCCATAATTCCTAACTATCATAGATTTAATCAATATACACATGATGATAAGGGAGTTTCTGTAATTAACTTCTTTTGTGGACTCAAAGAATAAAGTTGATCGTGATCATAGATTAATGATGTTTTAAAACTATAAATTTACTTAGATACAATTTTAGAAATGTTTTTGGATTTCTTTTTACTAAAAAGTAATCTTTATTTTTAGTAAAAGAAATCTCTAAAAATACTTCTAACTTATATCAAAATAAATTCTTATAATTTTTCTACTGGCATAGGAGAATTTCATTCTACTTGTCTCTTTCAATTCTAGTACTGACCAGCTTTCATGAGCCATGCTGACTCAAACAATTCAAGAAGAGCATCCTTTATACCTTCACTCGCTCCAACTTGATTTTTCATAACAGCAACATCACACTGTTCATTATTCCCATCATTCTTCTTTCCTCTTTCACACTCACAATCATCACCTTCCATGATCTTCTTCTCACTCTCCTTCTCCATTTTCTCAAGTGGGGTCTCATCTTTCCCTCTCTCCAATGCTTCCTTGTACGACCCTTTCATGTGACTCGTCGAATTAACTGCAATGTCTTGAGAGCCTTTGCATTCAACCTCTGATATAGGAGGAAAACTTTCCACATTCTCATTAGCTATATTATCATCCATAGAAAGGTACCCTTCACATGCTGATTCATTATCAACACCTATAGTTTTCTCATTTGCCCTTGAATCATGTCCCCAATGTTTCAACAAAGAAACCAACATGTTCAACCTTGAGATGACAAGGGTCAGTGTCCGATCCAAGAATGGTACTTCGTGGATTATTGTGGGAAACTTGTTCACAGCACCATCAAATTTTTCTGGGAGGGACACTACCATAAGCAATATTTCATCGACTTTGTCGAACAGGCGGGTTGAAGGGGGGAACAATTTTTCGGTGATTTTTTCAGTTGCTAGGATTGCATCATCAATGAAAGAAAGCATTGTTAGCCATTGGAATTGCATGGTGTAGATAAAAGGGGTGGCAAATTTGGCTAACTTTGTAGCTCTTCTCAATGTTGAGCCTAATGGTCCATTGATATTTTGCGTTTTTCCTATTGCAATGTCAACAATTGCCAACATGGAGACTCCACAAGTGTGTAATATTGGACGATGCCTTGAACTTATTCTTGTGGTTGTCCTACGCTTCTGGGAAATCATAATTATAGACAAAAATGACAAAAACACATTAGTATTATGCGAAGCTTCAAAGTTTATATGATCATTGAAATATAATTTTCATCCGAGTAGCAGATCTCATATGCGTGATCGTACGTTGTTATATTCTATAACAAATCTACCATCCATGCTCATCCTAATTTTTGTCTTTTCATCATTTATTTAACTTCACATGCGTAGAGATTAATCGATTCAATCAAACATGCAATATCTCAAACAAATCATGAAAGAAAAACATAAATGGTTTATTTGGTGTATGCGAAATCTAATGAAAATAAAACAGAGAATTGAAAAATGTTAACGAACAATTTCAAACTAATTAATACTGATATTGATGCAGTTTAATTAAACAGCATTTCCGGATAAAAACATCAAATTGAGATAGAATTAATGACAAAATTAAGAAACGTCAACAGAATTTCCAAACTCACTTGGGAAAAGAAATTGGCGGGTGGCATATCTGTGTTATGGGAACAGAAAATGATAATTAGTTGTCCAGAAATTTGCAGGTAACTTTGTTCCTTACGAAAACTTACAGATCTAATGGTTTCGACAACCTGAAAATATAAAAAGACAAATAAAGTTCTACTTATCAAAAATAAATAAATAAACAAACTTGCCATATAACAGAGAATGGTTCCGAACTGCTAGGAATGGAGAGGAACCGTTAGATTTAGCCACAGGCGTGTTCCAGCGTTTGATTTATATTTGACTTAATTACAATTTTTTTTTTCTCCACTCATCTTTTATATTTTTGTAAATTTTACTACTCAACTTTTAAAATAAAATATTTTGTCACTTAATTTTTAAAATTTAACACATTTTATCATTTTATTAATCTCAATAATTAACACCTTGATTTGTGAAATGACATACTAATTATTGAAACATACATGTGATGATATGACACACTAATGATTAATACACTATGTCAATAATCAATAAATTACTTCAATGATTAATTAATGATGTTGAATGATTAATTAATAAAATGAAAAAATGTATAAAATTTTAAAAATTAGGTATAAATTATGAAATTCACAAAATATAAAAAGATAAGTAGAAAAAAAGTGCAATTTATCTTTTTTATTTTTTTTTTGTCTAAAATAATTATAATCAAAATTCTCTTATTTCAATTCATCCAAAAAAAATATTTTTCTATTTGATTTTTATTTATTTATTTATTTATTTTATTTTACTTCTAAGTTCTAACCTATATGAAACATTATAAGTGTCTGAATATTGTGGCTCTCCCTAAAATCGGTAGTCTTTGGGTATTTCCTACCTAAGAGGAGGCTAGTTAGACTTTCTTCTTTCTTTTGGTTTCCTTTTACCCTTGTATAAAATAAAAAAAAGAATGTTTTAATAGGGTGTTGGAATGAAGATTTTGTGAGACTAATTCATTTTTTTTTTTAATGTTAATCAGTCAAATATTTTTTGAGAGACTAAAAATGAAATTAAGAAAAAAATAAGGGACTAAAAATGGAGCAGAATAATTTTTGAAAAATTGAAATTAGTCAAATATTTTTGTAAGATTAAAAAAAATAAATAAAAAATGAGAGATTAAGAGTACAATTTATCCTTTTTTTTTTCCTTTCTTCTCTCTATTTCTCTCTCATCCCTATTTTTTTTCTATTTCTTTTTTCTCTTACCTCTCTTTTCTCTTTTAATGTTGACATAAAAAATATTAATTTTTAATTATTATATATTCAAAAATATTTTTAAATTATTAAATATTATTTAACATTAATTTTTTAAAATCATTAAATATTTAAAATTGATCGATGTTTATTTTATAAAGTTTAATCTTGATTTTTTTTATATAAATTAAATATGTTTTTAGTTTTTGAAATCTTGTTTATTTTCATTCTCAATTTCTAAACAAATTTTATTTGATTTTAATCGTTAAAATTTTCTTTCATAAACAAAAATATTTATCATAGGAAAAAAATGTTAACGAAAAAAATTCATGAACTAAAAATAAGATAAAAAGTTTTTAGAAATTAACGTTAGTAATAAAATTTGTTCAAAAACTAATAGTTTAGGAACTAAAAATATATTTAATTTTATTAAAAAAATATATTAAAAATAAAATTTATTTATCATAAAAATTAAATTGTTTAATTAAAATTAAAAATTAATTAAATAAAGCATTACAATAAAAATAAAATGAAAGCTATTAAAATTATAGAATTTAAAATTTATAAAATTCTTCGTCCAAAAGTATTTGACAAGGTTATACGTTGACGTTAGTAAGTAGTAACTCAAAATCACCCCAATATTCAATTTGAGCGGAGAAGAGCCAAAATCATTTGCAATAAAGGTACTTGTATTTCTCGCGAGAGGAACAGAATGGCGACTCTTCTTCCCATAGTTCAATATGAAGAAAAAATCATTGAAACCGTTGAGCGGAGCCCCGTCGTCGTCGTTATCGGAGAGACTGGTTCCGGCAAGAGCACTCAACTCTCTCAGATGCTCCACCGCCGCGGCTACGGCAAAATCGCTGTCACTCAGCCCCGTCGAGTCGCCGCCGTCTCCGTCGCCAGGTAAACACTTCAATTTCCAACTCTACTAGGTTTTTCCGTTTCTCACTAATACGTTGTCGTTTAACTTCCGTAGACGAGTCGCGCACGAGCTCGGCGTTCAGCTCGGCGAGGAAGTAGGTTACGCCATTCGATTCGAGGACAGGACTTCACACAACACGCGCATTAAGTAATTGCATTCTCGTTTTGAATATTACTCTATCGAATTGGTTTTATTTTCAAGTGGTTTCTGATGTCGTTGATTTGATTAAGGTACCTCACTGATGGAGTCCTTCTCCGGGAAAGTCTGGCTAATCCTGAACTGAATGAGTATTCTGTAATCATATTGGATGAGGCTCATGAACGGAGTTTAAACACGTAGGATTGAATGCTGTGTCACTATGTGTTGTTCTCAAGTGTTAGGTTTATAAATTATAATAGTTGTTTATGCAATTTTTTTTATTGGCGTGGCGTGTTGGTTTTCAGGGATATATTGATGGGGCTGATGAAACGCTTGGTGAAAATTCGTACCTCTGATCTCAAAGTTTTGATCACATCCGCGACTCTTGATGGTGATAAAGTGTCAAAGTTCTTTGCTGATTGTCCTGTATTGAACATCCCGGGAAAGTTGTATCCGGTTGAAATTCTTTATAGCCGTGAGCGTCCCTCTAGCTATCTTGAGTCTTCGCTGAAAACAGCTCTTGGTATGAATGAAATTTTAAGTTTATCTGTGTGTCGACTGTTGAGTTAAATGGGTTTTATTGTGCTGGGAATTGATCATTTGTCCTGCATTTGTGTGTAAATAAATTTGCCTTAGCATCTGGTAGTTAGTAAAAGTTCTGTCATGTTAAATGTTTGCCTTGTTCATTGCATATTGATATTGATAAAATCTTGTATGAAACATGCTTACTTGCCATCATTAAGGTAACGTTTTTTTAAAAACTGGTATTGGCTCTTAAAAAGAGAATGCTCATGGTTAATATCATTGCGGGTAAGAACATAAGCTGCTAAGGGGAGAGGGGTGTATTTTAAATCTGATTTGTGAAATCTATCGTTCATGTTGATGTAAATAATCCCATTCACTTTGTTCAGCTCCATTACTGATTGAATGGCTTGTAGTTGTAGCTCTGCAAGCGGAAAGTCAGGAAATGTGGTCATGTTTTTGTTGACTTGAACTCATTCCATTTCAGATGTATTATTTCCTATAGTTGTATTTTATTTTATTTTTATTTCTGATGATTGATGAGGTACTGGTTTTGCAGATATACATATTCGTGAACCAGAAGGGGATGTTTTGATATTTATGACTGGACAGGTGAACATTTTTTATTTACTTCTCTACTCCAGAATGTAAATCTTAGTGCGTGTTTTGATTATAACTTATTCAGGGGAAATAGTCCTTTTTCTTATTTTGAAGTTTCTTGAGCAATTTTTTGGTGTGTGTATAAGCATTTGTTTTCCAGAATTAACCCGTATCCAAAATTCCTTAGTTTCTGATATGATATAATTAATGATTGAACAAGTTTCAGTGATCTTCATGTAGGATGACATAGAGAAGTTGGTAACTAAGTTAGAAGACAAGGTTCGTGCTCTTGAGGAAGGCTCCTGCATGGATGTTATAATCCTTCCCCTACATGGCTCTTTGCCCCCTGAATTGCAGGCAAGTAGTTTTTGTTTGTGTAAAATCTTTCTGTTGAAAAAAATCTGATTAACATTGGCACGAGTTACTCACTCTTAGTTTTGAATATAATCAAATTTCTATAAGTGATTGTGAGAATATTTGGAATGGCATTATATAATTCTTAATTTCTTTTGAATTTTGTTGATAGAAAACTTGAGTAGTCAGAATTTGAAGAATGTTGCTGGCTTAATTGTAGAACTGCCTTGAGTGTGTTTATCTTAGTTCTTTCCTATTTTAACTTGTTACTTACCTTGTTTCCTTTGTCACCATTTGTCAAATCACACAGGTGCGTGTATTTAGTCCTCCACCTCCAAATTGTAGACGAATTATTGTTGCAACAAATATTGCTGAAACTTCCTTGACTGTTGATGGAGTAGTGTAAGGACATTGATACTTGGTTAAATATCAGTATTTTATGATTACGATTTTACTTGAGGTATGCATACCTAGGTGACTAGTTTTATATCATTGTAAAGATAAATTATTGTTTATTACTATTGTTGTTGATGCTTTTATTACTTGTTATGATTCAGATTTTTTTTTTCTTCTGTGGCCTATATTTATTTCCATATTAATCAGAGAAGAGATTAAAAGTTCTTTGAAACCAAAATCCCTGTAGTCAATTTATATGTGCTGAAGTTTGTGATTAAACTATATATTTAAAAGCAGTGTCAATATTGCATAATGTTGCACCCAGAAGAGGATGAAAATATCATTGGCAAACGAATGAGTGTTCAGTATATACCTCAACTGCTAATGTGTTGTATTTCTTTCTGACATAATTTAAAAAATCACATGCAACATATGGTTGCTTTTACTTATTCTTTAGTTTGCATATTTTTGAGGTTTGTAATTTTGCCTTTTTGTAATGACAATTTATGTAAAACTAAACCGGGGAAAAATAATGACGTGATTTCCTGTAGCATATTATGAGATGAACTTATTGAGACATGTCAGACAATATATGACTACGAATCCTTCTTGCCATTTGAATTCACCTATTGTGATTTGGAGTGTTTTTCACTGATATTTTCTCCTTTAGATTGAGCACATAAACTTGTCTACTCAGTTTCTAAAATTGTTATTAATTTATGTGTTTTAGATATGTTATTGACTCTGGGTATGTGAAGCAAAGGCAGTACAATCCATCCAGTGGCATGTATTCTCTTGATGTTGTTCAAATTAGCAAGTAAGCAATTAATAGTTTGATATCTGGCCTTCATAAATTTTTAAATACCCAATTCATAAGCTTTAAGATGATTTCAAAATATTCCTGACTGCAGAGTGCAAGCTAATCAGCGTGCAGGCCGAGCTGGACGAACACGTCCAGGGAAATGCTACCGTCTATATCCTTCCCATGTTTACAATGATGAGTTTTTGGATGTTACAGTTCCTGAAATTCAGAGATCTTCTCTTGCTGGCAGTGTTCTTTACTTGAAGTCATTGGACCTCCCAGATATTGACATCCTAAAATTTGACTTTCTTGATCCTCCATCAAGTAAAATACTATCTATCTATTTATTTATTGACACTCTCTCCTTGCAGCATTAAGTGACTAAACTTGATTCACATTGATGATCCTGGGAATTTTTTTTTTCATCTTTAACATTTTAATTCCTTTTTTTTTATTTTGGGGGCAGGGGGTTCGATACTATATTAGTTTCTTAGTTTTAAACATTCTTTATTCTGGACTAGAAACTAGCAAGTTAATGAGTTTTACTCAAGTTTAATTTGGTGATTGAATAACTGGGTAATCTGCAGCTGAGTCCTTACAAGATGCCTTGAAGCAGTTATATCTGATTGATGCTATTGATGAAAGTGGAGCGATTACAAGTATTGGACAGAAAATGGCTGGTACTTAATTTCTTTCTTTACATTTTACTGTTGAATATTGAATATCTGTATGGAGAAATAACACATGTAATATTCCTATCTTCATCAAGTATGTGATAAGGGCCTTAACTAGTTTACCATGTTTCTGTCTATTATTTTCATAGAAACTTCTTTCTGTAGACTTGACAATGAAAGTTGTGCTTTGTGTTGACCATAAAATTTATTCTTTTCTCACCTATTCATTTTCCTAATCAGGTGTTTAACTTTAAGGATGAGTACTTCTCTTGGTTCCCTGAGTTGTTTCTTGATTCTATGCAGAGCTTCCATTAGAACCATCCTTGGCAAGAACTTTAATGGAGGCAAACAATTATGGTTGCTTATCCGAGGCATTGACTGTTGCTGCCATGTTATCAGCTGAAACTACATTGCTACCAGGGCAGAGGTGGACAGACTCATCTGAACTCCCAAGTTTATATACACACACACACAGACATGCACACTTAGCATCCTCCACATTTTCAATTAAACTGAAAAGCCTACTGTCTTTCATTTAACTCCATTATTATAAAAATGTTTTACAATTTCCATATTTGTGAATATTGTTACTATTAGTCAACAAAACAAATGAGAAAAACCAGGAACATAGGATGATGTGTATCTTATGTTTTCGGTTTTCCTGAGGTTTATACATCTATATGTTAACAGGGATTGTCTGACTGAGTAACTGAGCACTAAAACATTCCTTTAATGTGCAGAAAGACTGAGAAAAAAAGGAAACACACAATATCTAACCTTCCTGATGGTTCTGGATTGGGTGATCACATTCAATTGCTGCAGATATATGACTGCTGGGATCAAACTGATTTTGACATTGGCTGGTGCAAAGACAATGGCTTGCAGGTACCTATATGTGTTCTAGGAATGTCAAGAATGACATAAATTTGGGACTGAGCTTTTGCAGTGAAGTCTGTTAAAATATTTAGTTAGAAAGGCTAGTAATATCCTTGTGGAATATTTGTCTACACTCATTTGATCCAGATATTGTATCCTTTAAAGAAAAACTCTTATGGGTTACTGACAAAGACATACTCTGTTATTTCTCGATGATAATGCATTCTTGCATTTTTATTTCACTAACAGTTGTCTAAAATTTCTAATCTTCATATGAGAGCATTCTAAAATATGAAGTGATATGTACATATGGATCACTTGTATTTGTTTAATGCATAATTTATGTGATCATTCATGGAATGAACTGATTGAAGGTGCGAGGGATGTTGTTTGTCAGAGACGTCCGTAAGCAGTTATTCCAGATAATGCAGAAAATGTCAAAGGGTTTGTATTCTACATTCCTGAGTAATTTACCTCTATGAATTGAATAATATTATACTTTCAGATGCAGTGGTAATGTCTCTAGCATAAAGACCCAGCATTTTTATTTTTGACACATGCATAATTAAAAAGTGCATAATAATAATACTTGCACTACCATCTAAATATGCACTCACCACTAAATATATTTGACAACTCATTTATGTGGCTTGACAATAAAAGCATTATCAGCTTGAAAAGAACTTTGTTGTTTCTTCTTTATCACAGATTTGTATCATGTATTGAGTTGTAACTTGTAACTACTTTTTGAGTATGCCTAAAGGAATAAAAAGTGATAGAAATTTTGCTTTAATGCAAACAATTTCTTGCATGGAAACAGATAGTTGCATAGTTAGATATTTCACCATTCATTTCGAGTAAAACAAATTGTTTCCACTATATCTATTATGTTATGCATGTTGTTTCCTTGCCGCTTTACATATATTTTTTTTCAATCTTGCAATAGAATCACTGGATGTAAGGGCAAAAGGGAAAAATGAAGAGTTCCGACAGGATTATCGAAATCTGAGGAAGGCTTTATGTGTGGGCTATGCAAATCAGCTGGCTGAAAGAAAGATGCATCACAATGGTTATCGAACTCTGGGTTTCCAAGCTCAAGTTGTCCAGGTAATATTAGTTTATAGTCAGTATAGCATGTCACCATTACTTTTAGCAGCACTTTTAATTCGTGTTTTGTTAATATAATATCTCCTTCAAGTGATTTTTCCTTAAATCCACATTCTTTTACGGGTGAAGTCCATATCTAAGGGTAACAGTCCTTGCAGAAATGTCCAATGATAAAAAAAGGGTTAGTATCACCGATGTTGAAGGCTATGTACTGTGAATTTGTGGAAGTTCAGAACTAGTAGCTAGTATTTGTTGTTTTCAACCGAATGCTTGTTTTGTAGATTCCTTAATTACCTGAATCTTCTGTAATAGGTGCATCCGTCATCTGTGATGAGTCTTGATGATATGGGGAAGTTCCCTGACTATGTTGTGTTTCATGAACTAATTGCAACGCCGCGGCCATACATGAGAAATGTGTGTGCTGTTGAGATGAGATGGGTTATACCCATTATTAACAAGCTCAAGACCCTGGACGTGTACAAATTAAGGTAAACCATCATGGCATTAAAACTTTTGGAAAAATATGGCACACATGCACAATTTTTATTTTTATTTTTACTGGGGGTGCTGTGATCGTTGATGGCTCTAATTCCTTTATCTGAAGCAGTGGTGGTATTCATCATGTTGAGGAGGAACCTGAGAAAAATCTTCCAGATTTACCCAAGAAGGATGTTGAGGTTGCTAGTATTGCTGATGACAGTGAAAGTAGAATCCAAGCTGCTAGAGAACGATTTCTTGCTCGTAAAGCCAAAAAATAAGCACAGATACATTGTGGAGATGATATTGGCTTGTCAGGCATTTTGTTAGAGGGGCACATTAACTGGTAAAGTTACCTGAAATGATGGAGAGTCGAAATGAGCTGCTCCTCGAGTTTTTCACATTGTCACAACAATTTCGTGTCGTGATGTTATCTCAGCTTTATTCTCATCAGTTGTCTCTCGCAAACATCAGAAGATTTAACACAGAAACCTGAGATTTGGTCTCATGCCATTCTGATAAGTTGGTTGAGTGGCTGAATTATATACACTTTATGGTAGTGCTCTTGATCTGAAATATACCGAGAATAGAGAAAGAAAAAGGAAGAGGAAGGAAAAAGGAGACAAGTAGCAAGCCCCTTTGACAAGTAAATGCAATCAGTTAGGTAGACAGAACATAACATTATTATAGCTGTGTTTGAATTATACTTTGCAAATTATGGTTGGATTAATCGGATGTGTAACTTCTAAAATTTATTGAAACTTTGTTAATTCATCGTTTTGAAATTTTAATGACATTGTTGTAGTTTTTATGCCTGATCAACCGAATTTTAATTTGGATGACATTTTAGACTATCCATATAGTGTACACGGATATTATTCTATTTTCTAAATAAATACAATTTAACCATACTTTTATTAAATGTTATTTGTAGGTGAAATTCATAAGTGTGTTTGGGTAAAAATCGTGGCGACTCCTAAAATCATGTAAAAAAACGTATTCTCTTCACAACAATATATTGCTTCACTTTCACTGTGAAATTGAAATTGTTTCTCTCAAATCACTGTCACCCCAAACACTCTATCAATGTATATTATTCAAACCAAGTTTAATAATGTGCATATTATAATTTATCATTTGATTATGGAGTCATTTGCATTATATAAGATTGTTGATTAACTTGTAATTTAAATTAAATTATCATTTATGATTGTATGACAGTAATTATTTTCTTCAATAATCATTAGTTATGACATGATGCATTCCTTGTATATAAAAAACATATAAAGTGAGACAATCTTGTTGCTTCACTCCATGTTTTTTTAGGAGAGACTTCAAGTATGAGAGGTAAAAAATAGCGAGGCAAAGATCTATATATGGGTGAGGAGATTGAAAAAAGTCTCATTTAAATAAAATAAATAAATAAATAATTTAATGTGACTGAAAATAAAATTATCTTTGGATCTAGCATGGTAAGGGGAGACAAATCAAGTGGATTTGTACTACAATGAATCTACTAGACCCATACTCATGCATACAAGTTCACCACCTTTTCTTTATCTTTTTGAAAATGTTAAGATATATTATAATATATAAACACTCAAGGTTTATTAGGTTCAAATAATAAGAAACTTCTTTTGAAATACTCCATATATATATATATATATATATATAATAATAATAATAATAATAATAATAATAATAATAATAATAATAATAATAATAATAATAATAGTAATAATAATAACGACTTACACTATAACATATTCTTTTTTTTTTTGTTAAAGATATCTTTTAGACTTAAAACATATTTGGATACAGGTTTAAAACTTTTAAAAGTTTCTCTATTAAAAGATATTCTTTATTTTCACTAGAGAGACTCTCAAAAGTATTTTTAAATTGTATCCATACATACTCTTAATTGAAGGCGTTGCTCATCTTATTCTCATAAAACATGTATAAATATTATGGCTGTTTACTAAAACTCTTTCTTTTCCAATCGATCGCTGTAGATATCGACTCAAATGGTAGTGCTCTATTAACGGATCAATTAGAAGTATTTCCATAAATTAATTGAACTATTATCGAAATTTATCCGTACTTTTGACGTTAGAGGGATATTATTTATTTTCTTAAACTTTTATTTCAAATAAAACAGAACAGAAAAAGAATTACGTCGTTACTGCTATATACGGATGTTCTTCTTGTATTGAAAGTAGCAAAGCAGACTCACGGGACGACAGAGAGTAGCGTGACACGTAGAAGGATCCCAGAATGACGATAAGATAGAAATTTTGTCGATGCAATGCACGTACCAAGGGTTCTAGCTAGCATACAAAATTAAGTTTGCAGGTGTAAGTGTAAGAGAATTGATACGATACCTTCGTGTGAAAACGATGTTTTAATAAAATGCTTCACAAGTCAGCTTAATAATTATGCACATCATCCCTAATATAGTGAGGGAGTTTTCTTAGACCATCACGGATTTGTTTTTAGACATCACTCGAAAGGCTTCTCAACCAATGGAGATAACTGTGTATATATAAACTCATGTTCATCCTCTTGTTTAAACGATGTGAGACTTTGCTTGCATCCTAACAGATGTTGGATAATCTTAAATTTCTAGAGATATCCGAGATATCCGAGATATTCGAGATATCCAAGATATCCGGGATATCCGATTTAGTTATCTGGAATTATTTGATTTTGAGTTATTTGGTTTCAGATTAGATAAGATAGTTTTTTGGTAAGTTTTGATTTGATAAGATATTTTATTATCTTCTTGTTAATTCAGTACGTTGTACAATGGCTATTTAAAGGCCATCTCTTATTCAATAAAAATCACAGTGAGTTGCTACGATCACCCACAATTTTAGTGTTACTCGTCTCTCTTAGTTTTTCTACAAATTGGTATCAGAGCTATATGCTCTGAGTGCCGAGTGTGAGAGGAAAACAGTGTGCGCCTGTGAAGGGGGAAGAAAGAAGAAAGAGAGAGTAATGGCAAAGGTTGTGAATGGAATGACCGTACCACAACTGTCAAAGAAAACCAATTATGATAATTGGTGTTTACAAATGAAGACCCTGTTGGGTTCCCAAAGTCTATGGGACATAGTGGAGAAGGGGTTCCAAGAACCCGAGGAGGACGAAGACCAATCTGTGGCTCAGATTGCCGCATTGGAAAAGACACGAGTGAAGGACAAATCGGCTTTGTATTTTTTGTACAATGCCGTGGATGAGTCAGGTTTCGAGAAGATTGCAAACGCTGCATCTTCAAAGGAAGCATGGAAGATCTTAGAGGTTGCGCACAGAGGTAACCACCGTGTCAGACAGATCCGACTTCAAACTCTCCGAGGAGAGTTTGAGAGTTTGAAGATGGAGGATAAGGAACAAGTATCCGAGTACATAACTCGGGTGGAGAAGGTGGCTAACCAACTAGGAAGGAATGGGGAGCCAATGCCAGCAAGTAGAATTGTGGAGAAAATCTTGAGATCATTAACAGATGATTTCGAGAGTATTGCATGCGTAATTGAGGAGTCAAAGGACTTGTCAGTTCTCTCAGTGGAAGAGCTCGCTGGGTCACTCGAAGCCCACGAACAAAGGAGGAGGAAGATGAAGAATACTCTTGATCAAGCATTACAGGCGCAACTTGATTTGAATGAAACTCGGAACACTCAGGGCCGAAGATCAGGAGGACAAGGACGAGGTGATCATGGAGGACGAGGCAAAGGACGAGGTGATCATGGAGGTGATCAAGGACGAGGTCGAGGACGAGGTGACCATGGAGGTGGACAAGGACGAGGTGATCGTAGCCAAGGAAGTCAGCCGAGGTCCGAGGTGGAATGTTATAAGTGTGGCAAACTCGGCCACTACGCAAAGGAATGCAGATCGGCAAATTGCTACAACTGTGGCAAATACGGTCACATAGCAAAGTATTGCCGAGCTAAAAGCCGAAGTGAAGAAAAAGGGAAGAATCTTCTCACAGAAGAAGAGGACGAGGAAGCAGGAATTTTGATGATGACGCAGAGCTCGGAGACCAAGCTACGTCCGAGTTGTGCCTCCGAGGTCCAGCTAAACTTGAGTTGCGTCGAGAGATCAACAATTGAGCCTCCAAGCTCATATGAGAAGTCAGAAGCCGAGCTTGATTCGAGTTGCCTAAACAACTCGATCTGGTATTTGGACACTGGAGCGAGCAATCATATGTGTGGAGAAGAAAGTTTCTTCAATGAACTCATCAAGGTAAAGGCTGGATTCGTGTCATTTGGGGATGATTCCAAGGTGGCGGTAAAAGGGCGTGGAACCATCAAGTTTATGCAGAAGGATGGACGAGTTGGAGAAATAAGGAATGTCTACTACGTTCCCGAGCTTAAGAATAACATCTTAAGCATGGGGCAGATGATGGAGAAAGGAAACTCGGTTCTGATGAAGGATCGAGTGCTTTATTTGAAGGACAAGCATGATCGTTTAATAGCCCGAGTGGAGATGAAAAAGAATCGGATGTATAAACTGGAGATGAACATCATTCAAAATAAGTGCTTAAAGCTAGACGTGAAGGATGAAGCAATGATGAGGCATTCTCGTTTTGGGCATTTAAACATTGGAGGTTTGACCGAGCTATCAAAGAAGGAGTTGGTGCATGGACTACGTGGTGTTGGGTATTCAAGAACAAGTTTTCCGAGCTCGTCCGAGTACAAAGCAAAGGAGCAAGACATCTACAACTCCACTGACGAGTTACATGTAGTATGTCTATTGACAAGAACAGAAGACATAAAATCTGAAGAGGTGGTACTTGATGAAAGATGGAAGAAAGCAACGGATGAGGAGATCGGATCAATTGAGAAGAGTGAGATGGGAAGTAAAGCTGAGCTAGTTGAGGAGTTTAAAGAAGTGAAGAGGGAGTTTGTGATGACCGATTTGGACATCATGAAGTACTTTCTGGGTTTAAAGGTGGACCAAAGAGCAACGGGTATTTTTGTGTCCCAAAAGAGGCATCGGCCACCTCGACGCAGGGGGTGCTGGACGTTGCATGGCTCGCGGGGCCATGGTACACAGAGGAGTATCGCGCTCTGGTGGAAGAAGCATCGAAATGAAAGAAGAAGGAGAAATTTAAGATTATGGGGGAGTTTTGTTGGATAATCTTAAATTTCTAGAGATATCCGAGATATCCGAGATATTCGAGATATCCAAGATATCCGGGATATCCGATTTAGTTATCTGGAATTATTTGATTTTGAGTTATTTGGTTTCAGATTAGATAAGATAGTTTTTTGGTAAGTTTTGATTTGATAAGATATTTTATTATCTTCTTGTTAATTCAGTACGTTGTACAATGGCTATTTAAAGGCCATCTCTTATTCAATAAAAATCACAGTGAGTTGCTACGATCACCCACAATTTTAGTGTTACTCGTCTCTCTTAGTTTTTCTACAACAGATACAATCTTCTTCATGCAGAAAAGATTATTATAGACAACATTTTTTTTAACTATTTAACGCTTAGAGTTTGAACTCGAAACTGATAACCAAGTCTTACAATGATTTGATGTCACAGTTGATCCTCACAATAAGCAATAAGTTTGATGAAGGACAAAAGGAGACAGTGTTCATTTCGATGCTTTCATTTGCGATACTAGCTAGAGTAGTTAAAGTTACACACGTGCATGCAGATTCTACATCAAGGTGGCAGCTTGTGTAGCTCCTACATATTGCACCGCATGCAGCTCCTATTGAAAGGTGGCACTTCGCCTATTTAATTTTGAGGTTTGTTTTTATCGACTCATTGTTGACAGTGGTAAAACTTTCTGCTATAATTAAGAAACA